CCCCACCACCGCCCTCACCACTGTCCCCACCACCACTGACTGTCCCCACCACTGTCCCACTGTCCCCACTGTCCCAACCCCTGTCCCACTGTCCCCTCACCATTATCCCACCACCACCGTCCTCACCACTGTCCCACTGTCCCCACTGTCCCCACCACTGTCCCACTGTCCCACTGCCCCCACTGTTCCCACTACTGTCCCCACTGTCCCCACCAGTGCCCCCACCACTGTTGCACTGTCCCCACTGTCCCCACCGCGGTCCCACTCTCCCTACTGTCCTCACTGTCCCCACCACCTGTCCCACTGCCTCCATTCCCCACCACCATCCCCACCACCGTCCCAACCACTGTCCCCACCAGTCCCCCATGCGGAGTGGAGGAGGAGGGGGAGTCGTTCCCTGGCGGCAAGGAGAGGGGTGGGGCGGGGTCGAACCGGTAGTGACCCCTCCACCTTTTCATGATGGACCGCGGGGGGGGGGGTTGGAACCCCCAGTAACTCCCCCCGGTTTTCGGGGGAGGGGGAAGGACGGGTTGGAAACCCCCAGTGACCTCGCCCCCCCCGGTTTTCTGCCAGTAGCGCCAGAACACGCTCTTTCCTATCTATCGAACTATCGGTCTCACTTGCTGCTCCTCATCTAGTAGCGATCGGGATACTTGGGACAACCATAAGAACAACTGTCGGGACAACCGCGAAGCAACCGCTGGACATTCGCGGGACAACCACGGACCACTCGCGAGGCACCCCATCGGGCAGAACCACATTTGCGAACTTCGCAACAACACCCGCGGGTTCACTCCTCCCGCGCGCGCGCAGCTTCGCCTCGCCCGCACGCGCGCGCGCGGCACGAGCACGACACCGACCTCGATTTGTAGGATCTGCGTTTTGCTTCGACCCCCCTTCGATACAGTAGGATCTTGACCACAAGAAACCTTCCACTAGAAACCCAACCCTGAGACCCCAGGACGTCCGTTGATCTTTTTGCTATGGGAGCGTCACGCTCTCGCAAAACCATCGAAGCCCAAAAAACCCAGGGCACCCTGGAGGCGAGCAGGGTGCTTCTTGGCATGGGTGTCCACTGCCATGCGTCAAGCACCCAATGAGGGAGCTGGGGCCCCCGAACTCCGTGGCCCGGCATGCCCCCCCCCCCCTCCGCGGGCTGTGTGGAGCTGTTTAGGGCCCTCAGCCGCAAGGGCGTCGCTCCGAGGACGAGCCCTTCCACGAGCTGAACACCCCTCTTCCCCTGCGGCGAGAGGTTGCCCGCGCTCTCTCTCTCTCTCTCTCTGCCCCCATCACCGCAGGTCTGGACCAGAGGGGGGGGATCATAGCGTCCAAGTTGGCCCCCGATCGCTCCAGGATGGCCTCGACTATTGCGCAGGATGGCCCAGATTGGCTCACTATGGCGTCAAGCATGCCTCCACAACGGCTCGAGATGGCCACAGAGCCTCCCAAGGACGTCCCCTGGGCCACAACTGCAAAAGACATAAACGTATTAGTGTGGTATGCCTTCTTACCGTTTCGCTCCCGATGGGCCTGGGAAGGCCCAAATATGGTCCCAAGGTGCTCCAAGAGAGCTCCACGAAGGGCCCAGGAGGGCCCCAAGAAGCCCTAGGCACTAAGGGCACCGCAAGAGCGCCCGAAGAGGCGATCTCTTGAGCATCTCAGGGGGAGCCGAATGGTGATACACTCTTTTCGACCGATGACCTCCGCAGTGGCGCCAAGAAGGCCCCAGGACCACAAGTGCAGAGCACGCGCGCCGCCAACGAGGATCTTCAGAGCTCCTGAGAGGGGGGGGGGGGGCTCGTTTCGGACACAAGCCTGTTTAGGTCGATGGCGTCCAGGATGTTTCGAAGGACCCCGAAAGGGCCCCAATAGAGCCCTGAGCCCTGAGAGGGCCCCAATTCGTCAAACAGAGCTCCAAGAGGGCCCCCAGAGGACAAGACGACTGGGTGGTGGAGGAAGGGGACGGAGAGGGAGGCTGGAAGGAGGAAGGAGGAGGGGGATGAGGAGAAAAGGGAGGAGGAGACGGGGGGAATGTGACCAGGAGGGGGCAGGACGTCCAAGAGTAGGAGGAGCAGGAACAGTGGGGATACGGAGCAGGACGAGACGAGACGAATATTATGAGGGGTAGCGCTAGGAACAGGAGAAGACGGAGGAGCAGGAGGATGAAGAGCAGGGAGGAGCAAGAGGGCCAGGAGAAGGATCATGTATGAAGACGAGCCAGACGGAACAATGTTAGCAGAAGGGGGGTGGGTCAGGAGAGGAGGGACATGGAGGATGAACAGGATGAGGAGGGAACAAGAGCATTTGCATGAATGAGGTTCACGTGAGAGGAGGAAGACAGGCGATGAGCAACGATGATGGTCAGGATGAAGAGAGGGGGGGGGGGGGCAAGACGAGCAGGCATGAGGATGAACAGGCAAAGGATGAAGCAAGAAGAGGAGCAGAGGAGCGAGGAGCTGGGGCTCATGGGCCTTCCCGTCTTTCGAGGCCACTGCTGCTGGAAATTCTGAGCTCCCCACCTTCTGACGCTGTTGCGCGCTGGCCATACGGTCAGGAACCTGTTCTTACCGTGTCGCTGCGGCGGCCCCAACGACACGCTATGCTTAGGTCCGGCATGTCCCCCTACAGGGGGATTGTGGACGAAAGCACTGAAACATGGCATCAAACATACTCAAAAATGACCAAACATACTCAACACATTGTCCCCATACTATTTTTGACTATTTTTGAACTTCCTCCTGCAGAGGGACAGGCCCGACTTAAAGCTATGCCCTGCAAGTTGCCTGCGCCTCGCTCTGCTCCGCGTGGCGGAGGCTGATTCAAACTCGGGACCTTGACGCTTGGGGACCCGGACGTGGTTAGCGTGCCGCGCCGGAGCGTGGTGGTTCAGAGCCGCTGGAGCGACACGCTGAAGCAAAGGTCCTGACCGCATGCAGGAAGTCGCGGAGGAGCAGGAGGAGGAGGAGGAGGAGGAGGAGGAGGAGCAGCAGCATCGCCACGAGGAAATCGAGGAACTCGAGGAAGAGGAAGAAATCTCGGAGGAGGAGGAGACAGAGCAGGAGAAGCAGCAGCATCGCCACGAGGAGGGGCAGCGTTGTGGGATCCAACCCCCCTCGTCCAGCCGCGGCGGCTTGCCTCCCCTGGGCGCCATGGCCGCACCGGAGCGCGGGGCGCCGGTGCGGGGGAAGGGCAGAGTCTGAGGGCCGAGGGCGAGGAGCGGGTGGCAAGCGTCCCACGAGGGCGAGGGCCTTCCCTCCGTCCTCCCTCTGCCTCCTCTTGCGCTACTCTCCTCCCTCCTCTTCCTCCTCCTCTTGCTCCTCCTCTTTCTCCTCCTCTTGCTCCTCCTTTTTCTCCTCCTCCTCCTCCTCCTCCAGCTCCTCCCCGACTTCCTTCCTGCATGCGGTCAGGACCTGTGCCTCAGCGTGTCGCTCCAGCCTTTCGCCCGTCATCTTCTCCTCCGTCCTCCCCCTCCCTCTTGCTGCATGTGGAGAGAGGAAGGGGAGGACAGAGAGGGAAATGGAATAGAGGGTTGCTATAGATAGGACATGCGTATATCGTACACGTATATATAGCAACCGAGAAGACAGCCCTTCGGGTGATAAGGTGTATGTCGGGTGGGAGGGGAAGAGCGGGGGGACAACTTCCGGTTTGACATCGGCGCCGGGCACGGTTCATGATCTATATGTCTCACGATCTCTGCGCCTATATACCGATCTCCCTATCAATCTATCGATTCCACTTCCGACACGTACATATCTTGCAGAGATGACGATCTCACTCGATGGATCATCTTCGAGCCATAACAGTTTCGGCGGGGATGCCCCGCTCCTCTCAGTCCAGCCCTGCACGGGGCTTGCACTGGGGGCCTCTTAGGGCCCAAATCATGCACTAGGGCCTCTATGGGCCTGACGCTCGCGCCAGGGCCTCCTTGGGCCCTGGCCTACACTCTGGCCGCCTCGGGAGGGGCCGTACACTCACTGACGCCTGCACGCCCCCACGGAGCCTCGTCGAGGCACATCACCTCGTTCACCTTGCCATTGGCCGCAAGCTCGTTCTCACCCGTGGCTCGCCTCGGGCAGAACCATGAACCTCGGCGTCGTGTGCTTCCACTTGTACGTGCACGGCGATTGACTCGCCTTCTCCTCCGTCGTCGGCCTGTCTGTAAACCTTACCTTGTTGCTCAGCTCCTTTCTCCGATTCAGGGTGTTCGTATGCTTTACCAGATTTAGCTTCGTGGCGCTATTCGTCGTCGTCCACTTCTTGCAGATCCAACACCCGAGCAGTGCACCTGCCACGGATGTCATCATCATCACGCTCAGGATGATCAGTGTCGTGTGGTCGTCGATCCAGTCCTGCAGCTTTGTAGCCTCCCAGAGGGTAACTGCACTCTGGTCGAGATCTCGCACTGCACACTCACATGACTTGGTCGCACCACCCGTCGCTCCTTGCGCGAACAGTGTCGCCAACAACCCTTGCTTAGCCCAGGCGCTCGTTGTCACCGAGCATGCCTCCAGCTCCTTGTGCTTGTCCATCTCGCTGCAGTCGGTGATGCCAGCAAGCTCTCGCAGGTACTCGAACCGCTCCGTGGCGTGCGCTTTGGTCCCTAGGTCGGCCACGTTCTCGGCTCCACTCTCCTTCTTGATGATCAGTCCGTGGACCTTCCGCTCCTGCTGGATCCACAGCGCCCGAACGTCCAGGTGCTTCACCTTGCCGACGCCCTCGCGGTTGATCATCGCCTTCGCGGCGCTGCTGTCGATCCCGGGCTCCCAGGTCACCTCGTAGCCCAACCACTCCAGTATGTTCTTCACCAACTTGCCGTCCATCACCACCGAGGTCGCGCTGTAGAACTCCGCCTCGCCTGAGGATGTGCTCTGAACTCCTTGCCTCCTCGCAAACGCTGCGAAGTGCACTCCGTCCAGCTTTGTGATCCCACAGGTCATCGCACGCCTCGTCTCCTTGCACGTCGCAAAGTCCGTGTCTGTGAACAACTGCAGCTTCACTTATCCAGGCTTGCTCCCAGTTGGCTTCTCCAAAAACACTCCAAACGTCTTTGCCCCCTTCAGGTACCTCACCAGCTTCACCAGTCGCTTCCTGTCAAACTCCGTCGGCTGACTCAGGTTCCTGGTCAGCAGCTGCACGCCCCGCTGGATGTCCGCTCTGTCGGGCGAGATGTAGAGCGCGATCCCAACTCCTGTGCGAAACTTCGCCCTCTCGATCTCGTCCAATTCAGGGCTCCATGTCGGGTCCTCCTCAGTCAAGCTTGGCACCTTCGCTGGCTTGGCCTTCTCCATGCCCGTCACGTAGATCAGGTCGTCAATATGCCCCACGTTCGGCCTCAGCATGATGTTGCCGTTCATGAGCCTCAGCCTGTCACGCTTCAGGTGTGAGTAGCGTCCCTGCCTGATGACGTCCGTCGCCTTCAGGTCGAACACCTCCCGCAGCCGTTTGATGACCCCGTCCAGGTTGCCGATTGGACCCTCGCCGTGGAAGTCGTCCATGTGCACCTCGATCAGGATCTTCTTCTCCCTGTGGTAGTAAAACTGCGGCTGGCACTCACTCCTGTCGAAGCCTTCTCCCTTCAGAGTCTTCGCCACCTTGTCTACCCAGCCAGCGCCTGCCACGCGCTGCCCAGGTAGCATCTCGTTGAGCGCCCAAACGATATCGGTCGGCTTGCCCATCTCCGCCAAGATCGCCAGATACTCAGCAGGTGGCTCCACACAAACCTTCTCCGTCTGGTCCGCTTGGTAGTACGCCTTCACGCAGTCTGCGATGAAGGTCCCGTGGTTCTCCTCCTTGATGCTGACGAAGTCCACCAGCCTGCTCGTCTGTGCTGATGAGCTCGCTGCGAACACGTCGTCACGCTGTTCCATCCACTTGAACTCCTGCGCCACATACCGCCACTTGCAGATACCTCCTCGCATCTGCGGCTCCCAGCGCGCCCTGATCCTCTTGAACTCGCCGCTCTCGCTCCTCGGGACGTCCCTGTGCGCCCCGTAATGCGCCAGCACCTCTAGTGCTTCGCGCTTGCCTTTGAGTTCCACCGCGGGCTCCAGTCCGCTGACCGTCATGTAGCAGTCTGTGCCCATCCTGTCCAGGATGCTGTAGTCGATAGGGTCGTCGAGCGAGATGGCGTCCACGTGCTTCGCGCGCTTGCCTGGTGCACCGAAGTCCTCAACATCGGCAGGTCTGATCAGACCTCGCGGTGTCGTCGGCACGTCCGCATCCGTCGTGCTCTTCTCCTCGGGTCTCGCTGCCGCTGCTGCTCCAGCTCCAGGTCCCGCGGGTGCCGCCGATGGCTCCGCGCTCGCTGCTGCTGCCGGCTGCGCCCCCTTCTCGGGCGCCCCCCGGGGTGGCGCCGCCTCGCGTGCTGCCTCCTGCGCCTCGGTCTTCGCCTTCTGCTCCGCCGCCGTCAGAACGATCGTGGGCATCGGCCTCTGAATCCCGGGCAGTAGCTCGCACGGCTTAGCGCTCCTCGCGTCCCAGGGTAGGGCCTTCACTGCCTTCATCAGCTTATCATCTGCTCGCAATGCTGGCTCCAGCCGCCTGCATGTTCTTGCGCGGTGCCAGCCTGCTGGCGTCAAGAACAAGTGGTCGTCGCTCTCCTTGTGCTTCCCGATCCAGATGCCCTTCACGAAGCTCGACTCGCCCTTGCGCTTCAGAGACGTGGTCGTGATCTGCCTCATGTGGGAGATCGGGGTCTTGAAGAGAGCCGTCTCGCCAAAGGGGAGAATCTCTCCGTTGTAGGTCACTCCGTAGGCTGCCTGATGGGATGTCCTCCCATCGGCTCGTGGTCTGTACGTAGAGGTAGCCCAGCTAACGTATCGTGTAAGCCAGCACCAGATCGGTGCGTCCGCCGTGATCTTCATGCCATAGCGCTTCTCCAAGTCGAATTTGTACGTCCTCACCTTCGCCTGAAACCATCTGATCGGAGCCTCGATCGCGCCCATGCTCTGGCTGTCCTTCAGGTTCCCACGCTTCTCCTCCAGCTTGAAGCTCTTGTTCAGCCTCTTCCGCACCTCCTCCACCAAGTTCACGATCGTGGGCTCGCCGTCCGTCTTGATGTCCGCCGTCGTGAGATGCATGCCCTCGATGAAGCTGCTCACGCTGGCTATTGCGTAGTCCGTGACCGCCTTGGTGGGCATCGAGACTGCATTGAACATCAGCGTGTCCCTGTCTGCCATCACCAGCGTCGTCGCGAAGATGTCCGCCGCTGGCGGCTCCACATCTCCGATCTCCGCCCAGTCGCCGTTGGTCTTCAGGTAGCAGAAGTCCAGGGTGATCTGCGCCTTCCCAGTGTCCTTCTGATCGAATGTCAGGGTCTTGCGCGGCTTGGTCGTCTCGTTCCCCCGCGCGCAGGCTTCGCACCACGGCGCCCTCGTGAGGTGAAGCAGTTCATGAGCTGCTCGTTCTGCATCCGTGGGCGCTGCTGGCCCTGCTACTTCTCGTGGTGCTATCGAGGGTCCTCCCTGAACGGATTCCTCGTGCCTGCGCTCCAACTCCTTCATCTTCATGTGGTGCGCCGTGAGCCTCCGCTCCGCATCGCTGAGCCTAGCCCACAGCTCGTCCTTTCTGCCGTAGATTGGCTGGCCCATCTCCTTGAGCCTCGCCCGCGTGTCCTCCACGCGGCTGGAAGGGTGCAGGACGATCTCCTGCCCTTCGCGTAGTAGCACAGGATGTCGAGCCAGTCGCTCTCCCCCCGCGCCCTCAGCTGCTCCGCCTCGCTCTGGATCCGAGGCGGCAGCCGCGGGTGCAGCCGGTGCCGCTGTCGCTGCTCCGCTGCCCGCAGCCCCAGGCGTCGGCACGAACGCCTCCTCCTGCTGCTCATTCGCGTTCACGCTGGCCGCGAACTCCTTCGCCTCCGTAGCTGTCTTGAAGGTCTCCGCGTTGAATCCCAGCGTGTTGTTCTTCCGGGTGAGCGGGATGCCCCTGCTGAGGTCACCGCCAAGGCACATGCACATGCCCGTCTTCGCGCTCAGCCAGAACTCGGCACCCTTGTCCATCACCTCCAGCAACGAGAGGATTGGCTTCGATACCGTGTCACCCAGCCTGAAGTCCGCCTTCAGCAGCTTCAGCTGCTCGCAGTCGTCAGCAACCGCCATCGGCACCGTCGCAATGGAGCCCATCTTGATCTCATTCCGCTGCGCATCCAGCAACCTTGGTCCGCGATCCTCGCCTTTCCTGCATCCTTCTCCGAAGCAAGTCGGCCCCACGTGGCAGTCGCTCGCCGTGTCCAGCGTGATGAAGGTCGTCTCCACGAGCTCCATGCCGCAGCACTCCGTCTCAGGATCCTCCACCTCCATCGCCATGCAGTAGAGCTGGTCGTCGTCGCAGATCCCGCACTCGTACTCCGCGTACTCGATCTTGGCCACCGTCTTCGGGTCCGTGCCCCCCTGCTCGATGGCCGCATTGCCTTTGGCCCTCTCGTCGGCGATCCGCTTCTTGCAGTCTGCCTTCTTGTGGCCCGTCTTGTGGCAATAGTCGCACTTCCCCGTGAAGGTGTAGCTGTCCTTGCCTTTGCCTTTGGCGTCCTTTCCGCCCTTGGATCCCGCGCCTGCTCCTCGACCTTTTCCGTCGCCCTTCTGCTTCCCCTTGTCACGCCAGAAGCAGTCGCGGGCCGTGTGGCTCGGCTTGTGGCAGATCTGGCACTTGTCCTTGCTGTCCTTGCCCTTTCCCTTGGAGATCGCGTCGACGTCCATGTCGTTGCTCCCCTTGTTCGCGGTCGGCGGCCTCGAGACCACTCCGCTCTGGCCGATCACCGCCTCGAAGATGCAGTTCCTCATCTGTGTGATGTCGCTGCGCACCTCGCGCTGCGCCGAGCGTAGCATGACCTTCACCTCCTCTGGTGCGTGGGCCATGATCGTGCTCGTCTTCATGTTCTGCGCGACCTGCTCTCCAGTCGCGCGCTCATACCTCGAGATCACCTCGTCCCAAGCGATCAGCACCTCTGTGATGCGCTCCTTACCCTCGCGATCCTTCCACCACGTCGGCGTCAGGATCTGCTGGAGCATCTGGCCGTGCTCCTCATTCAGTCTCGGCCTGCACTCCTTGTACAGCCTCCGCATTGCTTCGAAACCGTCGCCTCGCGGGCAGAGCTTCACGATGCTCTGCGCCGTGCCTTTCGTGGTGCTCGCCAGCAGGTGGTACAAGCTCCTGCCTACCAGCACTCCCTGCTCGCCGAGGTCTTCCGCAGTCAGCGGCTCCTCAGTGTCTCTTGACCGCTCCAGGCCCGCCGTCCAGCCCAGCAGGCCGCAGAAGGATTCAAACGGGAAGATCCAATCCTCGAAGCCCTCCCTCTTGCCTGAGAATGTCGGCACCTTGCCGATCCCACGAGAATCTAGCAGCTGCACCCCAGCTGCTCCGTTGTCGGCCGCCATGGCGCGCTGGCGCCACTGGCCTGAAGGGTAGGTTCAGGCAACCTCACAATCTGTCACCATGCAGAGATGACGATCTAACTCGATGGATCATCTTCGAGCCATAACAGCTTCGGCGGGGATGCCCCGCTCCTCTCAGTCCAGCCCTGCACGGGGCTTGCACAGGGGGCCTCTTAGGGCCCAAATCATGCACTAGGGCCTCTATGGGCCTGACGCTCGCGCCAGGGCCTCCTTGGGCCCTGGCCTACACTCTGGCCGCCTCGGGAGGGGCCGTACACTCACTGACGCCTGCATATCTACATCAGGCCGATTCCGAAAACTCTGAACCCAACAATGTTGTCATTTCTTGGGCGCGCTCTTGTTACCTCCACCGGCTTCTGTTGGCAGAGGCACCCTCGTTCTATTTTGTTTCCGCGAGCTTCCGCCGCCCTGCCGCCGCCTTTCAGCGACGAAGAGATGACACCTCTTTCGGTCCTCGAATGCAAGGGCTTTTCTGGAACGTCTCATATATATATATATATATATATACACATTGGGGTAGAATTATCCGTCCTTCGATCTAATTACTAATTGGCCTTACTCTCTATTCATCGATTCTGGGATCAACAATCGGGGCAAGCATCTAAAAGAGAGCGCGTTTCACGGACTCTTGCCTTGGGAACAATCGGCGGCGCGTTTCGAACCGGGGGGTGGGCCCCCCCCCCAACACTCGGCGCCGTCGATCAGAACCAGGGGGACTCCCCTACACCCCCCTCCCGAACACCCCCCCCCCCTCCCGGTCCAAAGCAACCCTCCCCTGGCGCCGGCGCCGGCGCTGGCGGCCGCCGTAGCGAGAGAGCCCAGGAGGGGGGGAGGGTTCAAACTCCCCCACCCCTCCCGCGCCGGCGCCGGCGCCGGCGCTGGCGGCCAGCAGCGCCGACGGCGGTGACGCGGCGACGATGACCAGAGAGGGCCCAGAGACCGCAGAGGGAACACCCAAATCGCCATGTCGAGCTCCCGCATGCTCCTCAGACGCCCCCGAGAACCTTCTGACGAGACCTCAACAGGCATCCATTAGAACTCTGACCCTTTGCCAAAACACAGTGGCGGGAAGAGCCGAAGGCCACACCAACACCACCACCAGCACCACCACGACCCACCACAACCCACCACAACCACCACCACCACCACAAACCACCACACCATTACCACCACCATCACCACCACCGCCACAACTACCACCATCACCACAACCCACCACCAACACCGTCACCACAGACCACCACACCACCACCACAACAACCACCACCACCACCACCCACAACACACCACCAGCACCACTACCAGCAGCACCACCACCAACAACAACACAGCCCACCACCACCACCACCACAAACCACCAAGCCACCACCACCACCGCCACCACCACGACCACCACCATCACCACCACCACCCACCACAACCACCACCACAACCACCACCAAACCACCACCATCACAGCCACCACCACCACAGCCACCACCACCACAACAGCTCACCACTACCATCACTACCACCAATACAACAACCCACCACCACTACCACCACCATCACCACAATCTACCACACCACCACCACCACCGCCACAACCACGACCACTACTACCAGCAGCACAACCCACCACCACCACCACAACCACCACAACCACCACAAACCATCTCATCACCACGACCACCACCGCCACTACCACCACCACCAGCACCCCCGCCGCCGCCGCCAGCCGCCGCCGACGCCGGCGCCGGCCGGAGGAGAGGGAGAGAGGAGAAGTTGGGGGGGGAGTGGGGGGGGGGGGTCGAACCCCCCCCCCCCCTCCGTCATGGGAGGAAGGGGGGTCCAATTCCCAACCCCCCCTCCCCCCTCCAAGCGACCACTCTTTCGCATCAAACCAACCAACGATGCGAGCACATGACATCCGCGGGTCGACCGCGGCTCCACGGGACAACCGCTGGACAGCCACGGGGCAACCACCGGATAACCACAGGGCAACCACAGGACAAGCGCGGGGCAGCCACAAAGCAGCCACAGAATCGCCCCAGCACAACCACGGGACAGCCACCGGGACAAGCGCGGGTGCCGCCGCCCGCCCGGGGGAAGGGAGGGACGAGCAAGCTGACGACAAGCCTGCCCTCGCAGGGCAGGGACAACACCTCGCCCTCGCGCAGCTCCGCCTCGCCCGCAGGCGCGGCGCGCGCGCAACGACCTTTGGCCCAGCGTGTGGCGCTGGCGGCCCCTGCGACGCCAAGCGCGCCCTGCGGGCTGATGGCGCGTTGCGCCGCTCCGCGCGGCGGGAGGCCTCGGAGGGCTCGGGACATGGACGCCCGGGAGCTGGAGTGCGCTCGGCTTGTCGCGCCGAAGCCTGGGGGGCCCGGCCCGGCGCCGCACAACGCCACTCTGGGTTTCTTAATATGCGTGCGGGGGGGGGCCCCCGACGGGGGTCAGCCTCGCCTCGTCGTCGCGCCGCGACGGGGGTCGGAGCGCCTTCGGGGCGCGGTGGCTGCCCGCGACGGGGGTCGATGTGGGGCTGTCGGCGAGGATGACGCCCCCCCGACGCTTATCAAGAAACTCGGAACAGGCAACAATTCCTGACCGCATCCCCACAGACGGGGAAAGGGAGAGCATCCCCCCCACACTCGATGATCCTCAGAACGCGTGTTAGCCCCAACGTGTGTTTGTCCATCGAGGCCCTTCGATACGACGCAGGCGATGTAATGATCTACTGGCTGGGCTGAAAGGGGTAACACACACATTGGGCTAACACAGGTCCTGAGGATCACCGACACACTCCAAGCCAACGTTATCGGCGCCATGATGCCCCGGTCCTGGTGCCAGCGAAAAGAAGCGCGGATGAGGGCTTTGGGCATGGCCAGAGCACGCGCAGTCACAAACACATCGACGGCACAAATTCGGATTAGCTGGGTGGCCTTGACGCGCGGTTACCCTCGCGCCCCTGCGCCGCCGCCCTGGAGAAGGGCGCCTCTCAGACCCAAGCCGCGATACGCGAAGCGCGGTTAACTTCGCGCCTCCCAGCGGCACATACACTTAACATGCGCATGTGATGATCCGCCTCTCCATTCTGCTGCTCCTCCCCTCCTCATCAGTATACTTTCGTTGGTATTATCTTGGCGCTGCGCCAGACCGTCATCTCTGCAACCGCTTCGGGTTTCCATTACACAAGATCTGTCGTCAACTCTCCAGGCTCCTCTGGACCGCCCAGGCCAACTTCCCACTGGGGTTGCTCGTTGCCCCCTGCCTCTCGCCCCCCGCCCGTCGTAGAACAAACCTGGCCTCAGTAGAAGACCCGGCCTCCTACCCACTCACAGCTGTTCATCGTTATCATCCCTCCTGCCTCTTCATCCCTCCTCCTGTATACTTGTCCGTCCTCTTGGCTCACCCTTCCCCTTCGCCTCCTTGTCTCACCTTCCCCTCTTCTCCCTCCTCCTCCTCCTCCTCCTCCTCTTTGTCCTCATCGCCTCGTACTCCCGTCATCATTATTACTATCTTCCTCCTCCTCCTCCGTGCTGCCCCCGTGCCGCCCCCGCCTTCTCTTCCTCCTGCGCTCGTGCCCAGGGCAGAACCTAGATCATTCACAACTGCTGCTACTGCCACTAAGACTGCTGCTGCGGCCGGCTACTAATGCCCCCGCTGCTGTAAAAGCGGCGCGGCCTGGCTGGAGCCGCAGGGGCGACGCGTCTGAAAGAGGTGCCTGGTGAGCTGTTGGCGCCCGAGGTGATGCTTTCTCGAAGAGCGGCGAGGGAAAGTCAAGCCAGGGGTGGGGTGGGCAGAGGGCGGGGAGCAAAACACCGGCAGCAGCGACACTCAGAGGAAGGAAGGGCTGGGTTTTGGGCCATGCAGTAAAGCTGGCGCGACAAACTAAACAGCTGACCGCTATGGGCCAGGGCTCTGGGAGACCGAGGCGATGAATGGGACAGAAAGAGATGGGCTGGTGCACGACGCGTCCAGCGAGATTCAGAACTCGCGGGCAGAAAGTGCAATAAGACTGGGAATCGGGGCCAGACCAACATAACATACAAGGGCCGCGGACTGAAAACGGAAGTCGGCACACCACCCCCCCGCCAACGTTTTGCAAAAGCCGTTGCCCCAACTGGCTGGACATAGCTGGATGGCAGACTGCGCTCGAGCCCACGGGGCGCGGGCGATAGCTCTCGCCGGCTGGGGGTAGAGATGGAGGAGGCGAGAGGCAAAGTCACGAGCGAGAGTCATGGGCAAGAGGCGGGAACGGAGGACGTCGGGCGCTGTCTCCGGGGCCTTTCGGCCTTCGAATGTGGCCTCGATGGCGGCATCCACGGCAACTTTGGCAGTGCTGCGACTCTTTGAGGCTCGGACTGCTCGCTGCCGGAGAGACAACCGCGCGGCACACGGAACACTGCTTCGAGCAAGCGCTGCTCCAGAGCACAGGGCTGGCTGACACACGAGAGCGTAGAGAGCGCGCGGCCCGCGTGCGCGAAGGAGGCGAGGGCGGGGGGTGGGCGCCGACAGCAGCAACGGCGAGGGGCCCGCAGAACCAATCCGGAACTGGGGCCGCCCCGCGAGCTCCGCCCCGCGCCAGGGCCGCACACGCGGCCGATGTACTCGTGAGTGGCTGACGACCTGGAAGCCGCACCAACCGGGGACGCGAGAGGAGATCCAGCCATAATAGGCCCTGGAGACCTCGGGGGAAAACCTGGCCAACCAACGCGACGACGCAGCACTTGTGGTCCTCGGGTCGGACGTCGGCGACCCTATCGCGGGGCCCAGGCGCAATGTGGGGGCGCCTCAGAGCGGAGAACCGACATGCAGCACTTCCTCTATCGCTAGCACACGCCCACACGAGACCGAGATTGGGAGGTCCGATCAACGCTTCGAAGTGGCGCGTGAACGAGCGGGAGCTGAGAGCGCAAAGTGTTCCTGAGGCTGGGCATCCCTGGATACTCCCCGAGGAGATCTGGAAGGGGACCCCGGGTGCGCACCCGCGCACGCCGATGCGCCAGGCGTCGTCGTGAGTCACCTTGAAGGAAGCGTGAGAGGCCCGGGGACCTGGGGGCCCCGAGGACAAAGGAAATCCAGGAGTGGCTGATGCTCGGGCACGCCCGCCCGAAATAGAAGGAGGCCAGCGCGGAGAGGGGGCGGTGCTCCGCGTCGTCCTCCATCGACGCGATGCGGCCCACAGCGTCGGGCACCAAAACTTGTTCTCCGAAGTTCCCAGTGGGGGCGAAGCCGCGTGCCGACGGGCAATGTCGGGGGCCATGTGGCGAAGGCCCGAGAACGCACGTTGGCGAGGATCTTGCCGTCCGCGCTTTTGAGCCCCAGGGGGCGGGTTTGGCTGGGGCGTCGGACGAGGCCAATCTCGCCATCGGCTTCATCCCCATTTGGCAACGAACGCGCCCTGCAGAACGTTGGCGCCACATGGCAGCGACTTGCCCACCAGCATCCAGGATTGAGAGTCCTCCAGAGTTTCGGCACCGAGGGGATGGGCTTCCCGAGCGTCATGCGGCGGAAGGTCGGGTCCAAGGGCGCTGGACTCCAAAAGCTGCGCGCATTTCTTGACGTCGAGGGTCGTGGGAAGGGGGCAAGTCGCCGGGGCCATCGTCGAAACCACACCTGTCTAAATAAGCTTGGGGGCAACCTTGTCGGTCGCCTGCTCGCTGAAGACGAGTCCCCAGAGCGCGGCCAACTGATCAAGCATGTCCGAAGCGTCAGTGATGGACAGGGGATTTAGTCTCTGGGTCTGGGGAGGGTCGAGTACCGCGGATACATCATTTCCTGTTGAACGGGGCCCGCAGACGCCCGCGCTTCTGGAGACCCCTGAGACGTTGGCGAAGCTTGGACCTAGAAATCTCGCGTGCGTCCTCCTGCGGCTTGGCGGAGGCAGAGCTGGTGCCAGCCTGGCATAACCTCTGGTGGGCTTCGTCCGCGGCGATGCGGAAGTCACTGGGGTCGAGAAGAGAAGCAGTGCCACTGGAACAGTGGGTCGCCATGTACTGACTGAAAGGAGTGCAAGCGCTGGGTCTTCTGAGCCAGGTGGACATTCTGCTGCCAGACAGACCTGGAGATGGAGCGGGGGGCGACGAGGATGGTGAGAGGGTCGGGCGGCTTTCCGCGAATGATAGAGTCTCGGGTATAACGAGCGGCTTCGATCATGATGCCTTTGTGGAGGGAGATCTTGAGCGGGAGAGAGAGAGTTCGACGCGTCCACATGCTTCAGGGTCATTGAGACATTCTCGGCGAACTCGGGGAGGCGGAAGACGTCAGCAGGGATTGCTTGCTCCTCTGGCTTCTCGGGCTTCCTGGGCCCTAGGGCGCACGAAATGCCCGGGCGGTCTGACAGTTGGTTGTGCGGAGAATCTCTGGGGGCCCAGCAATTCGAGCGCCTGTGGGGGACTGAGCCACGGCCCGGCCGGGTGTCGACGCAAACAGGCGGTCGACGCTGCTTAGAGTCCAGAGAGTCCACTGCGCAACATAGAAGTGAGTGGGGTCATTGAGCTCGACATCGCCAAGCCTCCCAAAACATCTGGTCCAGGAGCGGTCCCGGGAACGGCAATGGTCCGGGGAGGAGCATCAGCAACGTTGAAGCCACAGCCTTCGATCGCGAGGAGCTTCGCGGGGTTCTTCGAGGCAGAACTGAGATCCTAGGAGATAGCATGAATAATGAAGTCGCGCTTGACGCGGGGAGAGCAAAAAGTGTGAATGTTGCACTGGGAGATGGAAGTGCCATCGACAACATTGATGCGAACAGTCAGCGCGATTCCCTGGACCAGCTCTCTAGCCTCGATCTCAGGCGCAGGCCTCCCACCCGCCGCCTGAAACTACTGGAGGCAAGTGATAACGCCGCCTGCAGTTTGAGAGGCGAGAGGAAGGAGGGAGGCACGAGCTTGAACAGGAATATGGAGACGGTAGTTCATCCCTTAGATTTCGTCGATGGACCCGTGGGGCTCCTGGATACCGAACAGCCCCCCACGACCGATGGGCATCCGAAGATACTGGAACTTGCGATCCCTGAAACAAAAGGAATGGTGGAATAACGCGCGCGCATTCCAGGACCCGAATCAGAGAGGAGCATGAGATGGATGCTGGCGGCACCATGCTTCGGACATCATGTTGGGACCACTGCGCTGGACCGGGCCCTTTTACAAGGTTGGCGATGGCACTCGCGATGGCTTGAAGGCCGATGCCCTCGGCAATGAAATTCGCGGCGGCCCACTTGACAGTCGGCGGGGCGACGCTGGTGGTACCTTTGAACTCGTCCCCGTAGAAGCGTCTGGAATGATACGAGTCGGCGCAAGCTTTCCTGGTCGCCTTGGCCGGCTCCTCTCTCTGGATCTGGCACGGAGACTTGTCGGAGTCCAGGGAAAGGTCGGTGGTGGTCCCCGCGGCGTCACGAACGGAATGACGAGTCCATGAAACTTCGGACTGGCGAAGACAACCGAAAAATTGGGAAACCGTGCGCTGTGCAAAATGAGAGGCGCCTCGTGCACGAACTTGGATGCGCTGAGAAGCTGGAGGGCGTCGAACGAGACTTCCTCGAGCGACATGTTGTTCTGCTCCAGGATGGGCTTGATGGGGTCCTGGGAAGCTTACATAGTGGTGAGCGCCCGCGAGCGAGCGACCAGGATGGCGGGGCCAGGAGCAACGCCGAAATGGACCTGTTGGCGATGATGGACGGAGGAGGGTCTTCCGAGCGGAGAACACCAACGAGCTGCATATTCGGAAGTCTTGCCGTCAACCTCTTTGAACTTCTCAGGATGGGCGGCAACCTGGAACTCGACGCTAGCCATACGGCGCTCGACCTGGGTGCCCAGGGACGTGCAGGAGGACTGGATTGTACTGACCAGCGAGCCGACGGAGCGCTGGACACTGGAGGCCATCTCGGACTTGGCAAGCTCGATGGCCTGCATGAGAGAGGAACGTGTGGCGTCGATGTAGGACTTGATTCCTTCGGAGGCAGCGCCACCGCATGAGGTATTCAAGTCGTCGTTCCCGCCAGTGTTGATAGGGCGCCGCTTGGGATCAGAAGGGCGAAGAGCATACCTCGGAGAAAAAGACAGAAAGAAGGAGCATCATCAATGGCGGTGGCGAATGGAGCAGCCTCGGTCGAAGAGGAGGGGGTCTCGTGC